GGGTGAAAGTTTTTGTTGAACAATTAATTGAAGAGGACGTAGTCGGAGCCTGGCGTGGGGGACAATGGCTACAGTGGCAGCCATATGACCCAAAAGCTTCTGAACAGAGAGCGCTGGAACAATCTTGTTTTGTCGGATCCGATGAATACAGGACCAAAGGCTGTCCTGAGGAGCTGAAGGGAGAAAGGCCCTCACCAGAGTGGAATTGAGACGAGCTCCAATGAAATCTATCACCTGCGCAGGAACAAAGGATGATTTTTCACGATTAATACACAGTCCTAAATCATCCAGCAAAGAACAAGTTTTGTCGATGGCTAAAAAGAGACCTTCATGGGTCTGGGAGACTATAAGCCAGTCATCCAGGCAAGGGTAAACTTGGATGCCTCGAAGCTGAAGATGCACACACACTGGGGCCATGCATTTTGTGAAGACCCTCGGAGCGGTGGCCAATCCGAAGGGAAGGACAATGAATTCATATATGTCGGACCCGACGGTAAAACATAGAAGACGTCTATGACATGGGTGAATCGAGATGTGGAAATAGGCATCTTTCAAGTCCAGTGAGGTGAACCAATCCTCTCTCCTCAGCAATGGAAGGATATTTTGAAGGGTAGTCATCCGAAATTTCTTAGGTTTAATAAACTTGTTAATATCTCGGAGGTCCAAGATTGGACGGAGACCACCATCCCGTTTAGGAACTGTAAAATATCTCAAATAGAATCCATGAAGTCCCTCAGAACAGGAGAGCTGTCGGATCACTCCTTTACGAAGTAGTTGTTGCATTTCAACTTCTAGCACCTGCGAGCGTGGTGTAACCCGGATCAGGCTCAATGGAGGAACGGTATTGAATTCTATTCTGTATCTGAGCTGAATGATGGATAAGACCCACCGATCAGATGTAATGGACTCCCAAATGGGAAGTCGGCTTTGCAGTCGGTCCCCAAAAGGGAGGGGGAAAGGTGGGTGTTGAGAGGGAGGAGTGGTTCGCCCGCCCTGTCAGCACTGGCATTTCTCGTTGTCAAAACGGTGGTGGCCTTGCTGGAACCGTTGCTGAGGTTGTTGCCTCCTGCGCTGCTGGCGGTGGTATTGTTGTCTCGGGGGGAGCTGATATCGATAGGATGGACACGACCAAGCCCACTAACGTTTTTGTTGTGCTGGTAGCTCCATCCGTCTGGCCGTCATTCGGGACTCGTGAATGGACTTTAACTTATGGTCCGTTCGAGAGTGGAAGAGTCCCGAGCCATCAAAGGGCATTTCCTTAATGTGCCTCTTCATTTCATCGAGGAAATTGCAACTCCTGAGCCAAGCATGCCTCCAAAGTGAGATGGCACCGACCAAGGCTCTGGAGTCGGTATCGACATGGTGGTGAGCTGTCGACAGTCGTTGAATTGCCACCTGCATGCCCTCCTTAATGAAGACCCTGGCCAGATCCCGTTGTTGTTGTGGCAGGGAGGTGGCTATATTGTCCAGTTTTTGCATTATGATACCTGGCAAGACTGGCTTCGTAATTTGACACACGAAGGCCGAGTCCAGAGGCCGCATAGACTCAGCGTGTCAGAGTATCAATTTTCCTTCCCTCCTTGTCTTGGGGGGTAGTATGTCCCCTGGATTCCCTGCCTTGAGATGACTCAACCACCACGAAGTTCAGCTTGGGGTGATGTAGAAGGAACGGTTATGTCCCTTTCTTGAACCCGATACATGGCCTCATATTGCCGTACGGTGGACTGTGGCTGAGTCGGCAGGTTCCAAGGCAGGGTCATCGCTTGTCGCAATGTTGTGATCAATGGCAGAACAATACCAGGTGACTGCTCTCCCCTCACAATGTCATAGAACTTGTCGGGGCTCGGATCGGCTGTTGTGCCTCAAATTCAAGCAACCAAACAAGCCTCAACATCAGCTCTCCAAAGATGTGTGGCTGTTCAGGAGATGCTGGGCCCTGCTACATCAGGAGAGGTGGAGTCTGCCTTGGAGCCAGAGTCGGGCTCGAAGTGGTACGGGCCCGATGAAGAACTCCCTGGTGAAATTGGGTGTTCTGGTTCTGCACGTCTTGAAGTAGATGGGGCTTCCCCGCGGACCAAAGGTGAAGAACGGTCCCTTGGCTGCAGGTAGAAGCCAAAGGAATGGTAATCTCCCCAACCAGATGGGTAATTTTCTTATTAGGGTTGGTTCCATTCCTCTTCGTGTCGTTCATCCGAACGTGTTTGGTACTGCGGTGGAGAGGCAGAAGACTGAGCCCTAGGCCTGGCCAACGGCATTAGCGAGTGAGCAATCGGGGGAGAATCCTGGATTTCTCCGTCCAAAATGGGCTCACGTAGCAGCTCCTAGGGTCGTTCAGGTGACTGGCCCTGCTGAGGAACAGGCTGTCCTGGAGATCCCGGCGGGGTGACCTGCATCGCTGATTGTAGCATTGGAACCGATGGTGTTGGTACCGATGCAGCTGTCAGGATCGACAGAGCTGACGAACCCAAGTCGCGGTGTTTCTTCGGCTTATGAGCCGGTTTGCTCGCCTTATCTTTTTTCGTCTTCTTATGAGAGGAAGACTGATCCGAACTGCCATGCTTTCTCTTCTCCCGTTGTTTACGTGGGGGAGAAGAAAGTCGTTGGGCTGCAGATGCCGATGCCCCATCGTCCGATGGGCGCAGCTGAGGCACAGTCGGTGAGGCCACAGGGCGTTGGCCAGGCGTGGCTAAGGCAGAAGCCGGGCGTTGGCCAGGCGTGGCTGAGGCAGAGGCTGGGTGTTTGGCGGGTGCAGTCAGAGTAGGCCCAGATTTTGCAGCAAGTTGGTCCGACTGCATTAATGCCTGGTCCCAAAGGAGCTTACACAGGTGGTTCTCCCTGTTCTTATGGGCCTGCTTGGTGAATGCCAGACAATGGCAGCATTTGTCTGTTTGGTGCCCCTCGCTGAGGCAGAGGAGGCACAAGTCATGCGGGTCCGCCAGGGACATTTTGGACCCGCATTCTGCACATTTGCGGAAAGCCGCTCACTGCGCCATCGAGAGAAACGGAAGAAATACGAGATTGTAAAGAGGGATAAGATAATATTTTTTGTTTTTTTGTTTTTAGCAAAAAAGAAAAAGAAAGATATAACAAGGGAAAAACAACTTGGAGTAATAACAATAAAGAACGATAAGAGCGAAAGGAGCAAAATACGGTAGTCAAAGCGAGAGTCAAACAGGCACAAGGCACAGCAAACGGCAGTCGCAAAAGACTGGAGAAAATGGTGGACACTCCGCTCTATATGTAGTACTGAGAGGGAGGGGAACTGAGTTTCCCACCAAAAACCGTTAGCTTTCTAATCTTTCCAGCCTTAGGCACTGCACAGGCGCAGCACTCATATGCATGATGCACAGAGACCACGATGAAGAAAAATTGTTGCTTTAAAGAAAGGTGGGCTTTCCAAGGGGCATGCTTTTAAAGATAAAAGGTATTTTTCCTCCTCTGTGTTCAATCAGTGGCTTTGCTGAAGGAGGCAAACATGGAAAACAGTACAACACCAAACACAGTAAGTGAAGAGGCATAAAAGGACACCTGCATGCAGGAAAAACAGCAGAACATAGACGCAAACTTGAAGAACCAGTAAAATGTTTTTGAGAAACTAAAGCAAGACCCATGTGGTGCAAGCAATTTATGTTGCCAGACGATTATTGTAAGCATGCTGAGACTTCAGCAGAAGGGCAAATTTGTGAAGGCCTTTTCCAAGAAAAACCAGAGAGAGTCTGCTGGAGGTGTACAATATAAAGGACATGCGTACTTTATTTGGTCATATAGGTGATATCTATGTACTGTATGTATCCCTGAAGTCTGTACAGGATGTTTTTATAACCTTGTGGTTACATACACCATTTGGGGAAGGAGAGCTCCTATACAGTTTGCTAGAAGCATAGGATAGTAAAACAAAAAGGTCTAGATGGATTAAGCCAACACCACAAAAGGAAGAACTTTCAGGACAGGTAAACATTGGATGTACCTTGTTGCTCAGGTACATCTAAAGGTGTACCTGAGCAGCAAGACATTCGACATGGTTTCCTGATCAGATCAGAATCCCAACTCAAGTCTAAACCTGTTCTTACAGTGCCAGGCTTTTGGCAGCCATATTGTTTTGTCATGACAAGTGCATAGCACTACAGCTTGAATTTGAGACATTTGGAAATACTGATCTCAGTCAAGTAAGTGAAAGAATGCAAGAAATGGTGGAGGACATGGTGTTGTCTCTAATAGGCTTTGGTTCTGAGTTTGTGTTCTATTCTTTGGTTGCTGATAGGACAACTGACATGAATTGGAGAAGACAACCTTGTTTGCCACCTTGGGCTACTTTGCAAAAGGAAGAAAGGTTGGAAAGAGGTTAAGATGATGATGATGATAATGTTCAGGAGAATGTTTGTATGCAGTCCCTGAGAATGCAGCAATCCATGGCAGTGGCATTGGTCAACTTTATCAAAGCTAGGGCACTAAACTGCCACATCAAGGAGATACTGATAGAACCCTTATTAGCAAATAATAATACCATCCAAAAAATACATTATACTCATTCTATAATGGTGTAAAAATGGCTGGAAGACACAAGGGAGGCTCTGGGAATAGGACTACACCCTATAAAAGACCTGCAAACTTCCTTGAATAAGGGATTACAAGCACACAATGAATACCTTATGCAGAAAAGCCCTAAAAGTTTGAAGGAGTTCTCTTAAGTTTTTCATAGACATCACCTGGTCTTTCAGAGCTGAATGTGAAGACCGAAACCAAATGATATCATCACATGGCTTTCCAATATCAAAAGATCTGAGGTTAGGTTTCTGGAAACTGCAGCTGGAAAGTAGCAAGACAGATTATTTTCCAGTCCTTTATGAGCAAAAGCCACATAGAGTATGCAGTAGAGTGCACATTCTTTCTTAAGAAATCTTGTGAATGATTCCAATACATAAAAGGACAGAAACAAGACTTCAACATTTCTGCAACTGTAAACCCACAGTAAATATAAGGCACAATACCACAACATGGCTATTCTTCAGTTCTACAAACTGTTCATGTGACCTTCTACAAGCAATTTAGGAAAGGAGGGCTGATATGGACACAACCTTTGGTGTGGGTAGATAACATGGTGCCCATGTAAATTAATGGGCTCTCAGACACCTTTCTTTCAGTTCCAGTAAAATGTTTCAATCCTTCTACATTTTAAAGAAATTAATACATTTTTGTGGAATTGATGTGAAATAGGGTTTTGTTCATGCTAAAAACTGGGTTCAGAGGAGTCGTTTAGAGTGCTGGAATCTCACCTCTGCCTTGTACTCATTTTTTGGTCATGTTAACTATTCTTTGCTATGCCTCCCATGGAAGCCATTTTGTGGTAGTGCCCAGGGCAGTTTCTTAAATTGCCACATGACCTAAGATGACAAGGAGGAGGAGGAAATGCAAATTGTTTCAGCTGTTGAGCTCCTCAAAATTTCTTTTCAGAGCCAGATACCATTTGTAGGATCTGAAATGTCAGCAGCTTCATACAGTGAATAGGAACAGATATGACAGAAGCCATTCTTAAGTTCACTCTTAAATTCAATTGGTTTTGTTGTTGTGCCAATTTGGATTATAGAATATTTATTATAGAATTCCTATTACATCTGAGGGAATTTTTCTGAACCCCAGAGTGAAAAATCTCTTTAACCTGTGAGGGAAAGAAGTGGTGAAAATAGGAAGGAAGCAGGATCTTGTCTTTGTCCATAAGAGTAATCCAGAACGGTGTGCTTCATCTGCAGACCTAGGAATATAAGGAGAGAAAAAACCTTGCAAGAACACCCAAATTTCTTCTTTTTAATATAAAAAGTATAACTGACATATCCAGTGTATAAATACAAAAATTGTGCATAATAAAATGTACCATAATACTGTATATACAGTGTAAACCGTTCAACAAGAATGATTTTAAAAAAATAAATCTGTGTCTTTTCCTGACCTGAAAGAAACAGTATGTTTTGGAAAAATCAGGATGTGAACATAAATATGCCTCCAGACTTTTGGAGAGTGTCAACTGCACTCCAAAATATCCCTGAACTTCAACAAAGCTACGTATTTATTTAATGCAAGTTTTTATGCAACAAGTTTGCAAGTTATCATGAACTGCAAGGGGAAGTTGCAAGACTTTAAATCCCAGGCAGGCTGCATCAAATCCAGACAGAGGTTTTTCCATCCCCTGATTTGCTACTTCCACTGCTTTTATTTGAGCTGCCTTTGGGTTTCTTTTCCTTGGAACAAGTAGGGTTGTTCTGATTATTGTATGCCTGGATGGCAAGGTCTAAACGTTCCTGAGCAACTTTGATTTCTCGCTGGAGGTTCTCCAACTCAGTTGGAATGTTCTCTTCATTGCTACCATACTGCTGTTCTTGTGCAATGTTGGCCCTGTTCTGCTTATAGGCTATCTTGGCATTGGACAGTTCTGTGTATTGTATCTGGTCAGGCTTCACTGCAATGTTGTAACCTGGAGGAGCAGACGGTGTATTCCAAGTAAATGGGTAATTATAGGTTGCTGAATCCTCCAGCTCTTTCCGTTTATTGTTCAGTGTGTCCCGGATGGTGCCAAATCCCAAGTGAAGCATTTCCCAGATGTTGAGAAGTAAGCATAAACAACTCACGCCATACATGATGAGTAGAAATATGGTTTTTTCAGTGGGTCTTGAAATGAAGCAGTCAATTGTATGGGGACATGGCTTCCTGCTACAAAGAAATTTGGAGCTGACTTCAAACCCATAGAGAAAATACTGGCCAACAAGGAAACCAATTTCAAATATAGTTCTGCTCAACAGTTGTAGTATATAAATTTTCATAAGCCCATCCTCTCGAATTCGCCTCCTGCCATCATGTTTCACTTTGACTTGGGGTGGATTCTCCTTGTTCTCCCTCTCACTCTCCAGCTCAATTTCTGGATACATCATTGGATCTTCCTCTTGATCATCCTCAGCCTCTTCTAAGCCTCGATGCTGTTTCCAGCGCATTGGGAAAGGTTTGCTTCGGAACTTCCTTTCTGTTTCACCATGTTCCACCATCCGGGCGATTTTGTGAATGGCATAGCCCAGGTACATCACGGAGGGAGTGGAGACCAGGATGATCTGAAATACCCAAAATCGCACATGGGAGAGGGGGGCAAAAGCATCATAGCAAACGTTCTCACATCCTGGCTGTTCTGTGTTGCATACAAATTTGCTCTGCTCATCATAGTAGATGGACTCCCCTCCCACAGCAGTGAGGACAATGCGGAATACGATTAGCACTGTCAGCCATATCTTTCCAACAAATGTGGAGTGGTTGTGGATTTCCTCTAACAGACGTGTCAAAAAACTCCAACTCATGGTGGTCAAAAACTGTTATCTAAGAACAAAAACAAAAGTGGGGAGAATGTGACTTTAATACATTGACTTAAACTGAACAAATACTTCTTAATTAGCAGAGTGAGGGAAAGGTTAAAATAATAGTTAAAATGTAAACACTGCAAAGAAACAACAGATTTAACTTGTTGTGCCCTGAAGAACAATACAAATATATGTAAAATTATTTTCTCATTCCATATAATATAAGCCATGTACTGCTTCAGAAAAAAGAGAGCAAGACCATAATAATAATTTGGAGATACCAATTATTAAGATATGCTATTGCAGCCTGTCAACTCAGGTAACTGATGCAATTCTTAGACAATCAACCAGAAAGCACTTGGACACACATGGAAAAGGGAGAGAGAAGTGCAGAAGCAAGAGAATTAGTTTACAGGAAATTAATGAGAAGGAAAATCCCTTTCTAAACATGTACTTTAAAAATATGGCTTAAATAAAGAACTCATTCCTGATCTATAGCAAAGGTAAATTTGTGAAATTGCAACACTGGGAGGAAAAAGTCTTTTTAGATTGATGGATTTATATGAAGGGTTAAAAAGGACTGAGAACTCAGTAACTACTTGTTGAAACCAAAACTTCCACTAATTAATTCATTCAAAAACATATTTGAAAACCTATGAATACAGGACAATATAGGAACAAAGAGACTGAGTTTGTTTATATATAAATAGCTATTAAGTGCACAATTTAGTACCACAGATGAGGTTAAGAGATCTAGGTACAAAATAATGTAAAGACTCACTGGGATAAATTTTGCCTTCAAGACCCAGTGCAATCTGTCCCTGCTAAAATCAAAGAAAATTAGATTAAATATTCACAGATGGTACCTTAAATCTCAAAAGCTAAGTTATACTTACAATGCAACCTTCCATTGTGCTGGAGGAATTGTACTGAAGTAGGTGGATTTTACCTATGCGGTGGTCATGCATTCTAAAAGATTTTGGCAGTGATTATAAATCAAATTATGCCTTTCTCTTCTGTCATGGATCTGTTTTCTATTATAATGTCAACAAACATCTACAAAGGAAAGATCAGTTAACATTATTCTGGGGACCATCCAGATCGGAAACAGCTGCTAGTTCCAAAAGAATACAACAGACATGGTTGACCAGTGGAGAATGTTCAACAGTGGAGAATCAGGGTGCAGATGATCGCACTCATGGGGCAGTTATCTGAAGTATAAAGGGTGACTAGCAATGCTCGTTATGCAATTATTTTTATACAACATGGTATGATGTTTGGAGTATGCTGTTCAGCACAAAGAAAAAAATCGACCACCACAAATACATAGTATTGAAAGATTTACTGGGATAAAGAGACAGTGTGGTGAAGTGGTTAAGAATGCGAGACTAGAACTCAGGAGATTTGGGTTCTAAACTCCATTCAGCCATGAAGCTCACTGAGTGATCTGGGGCAGTTGTGGGCTCTCAGTTCAACCCACCTCACAGTGGTGTTTTTTGTGAGGCTAAGATTGAGAAAACAGAATTATGTAAGCCCACCCTGAGTTCCTTGCAAGGAAAAAAAGCAGGAGATAGATAGATAGAAAAGAAGAAGTACAGAATTAAATGGCTAAATGGAGAAATATAGCATGTTTGAAATATGGATGGGCAAATGACCTTGATGCTATTCCATGAAGTTACTTTCATAATGTAGTACATTAGTTTTAACATTTCATTAATGTATCTGTTAAAATGAAATTGCTTATAATACCAAACCAGCCCAAAAGCTCAGTCACAGTGCATTTCCAACAACCCATGTTTTGTTACCCTTGAGCAACTAGGACATACAGATGTTTCTCTGTATCATTATAACATGAGTCATACTGAAGCCCCATTCAACTCCAACTTTGATTCTGGTGGCCTCAGGGGAAAGCCTCCTTCATTGCAGGAGCCATCCAAATTTTGCTTGGGTTTCACTGGAATCTGATGCACATCCTTAGCGGTTATACTGATGGGCATACTTCTATACTTCAGCACTTAGTTGGCATCCTTCTACTAGTATGTTGTATAAGGTTACCAACTGTTTGTTACGGTAAAACACTTTTCAGCCTTAAATAAATTAATAAGCATTTGAACACATATTTTAAAATGATTTCAAAAATAAAATGTCTTGATGGCATGACAAGCTTTATTGCCCATTCACAAAGCTACATTGCCCCTCTAGTGTTGATGGAACACATCAGGATGCATACAGAAAAAACCATTATACTCTCCCTAAAGTATGAAAGGTCAGTTGGAATTCCATGTGTATCTTCCAGTAGATAAACATTAAAAGATTCCTGTCTGGATAGTGAGTTCAGAATAGATTCTAACAGGGATTTGCTGATTTATAGCTAAGTACAATAAAGGGAAGTCAAAAGAGGGAACTTCATTCTGTATATCTGTCATGATTTCAAACTGCCACTGAGAATGGGAAAGGCTTTTCTAAGGACAAAGGGAAATTAGAGTAAACAACGTATATTTCCATCTTCAGCTCTTTTCTGGCTCAGCAGCACGTTTTATGAACTAACATTTTGCACTCAGCTCACCAGTCTCCAGAAGAAAAGGAAGAGTCAATTTATTCAATTTTCAGAGATAATAATAAAGTTACTCCTGGCATATACATTTTGGATTATGTATTGCTGGTATGGGAAATAGAAAGCTAGTATTTGAGGGGGGAAAGTCAAGCCTACCTTCTCTTCTTCATATGCTATTTTTCTGTGTGCATATGTGGATACACTCCAACATTACTCAAAATCTATACGACCAATGCACTACCATGGCCAGGTCAATGTTCAACATTCTGCAAACTACAGAAGGGAAACGGTTGCTACCCAGAAGCCTAATAACCTTCACTGAAACAGCAGTAGAAGATTGAAATAACATAAAACTAGACCTATGCCTCCCAGGTGAATCACAAACAGGTGGCAATTTCTGTATAAACAGGCAGACAGACTGTCATATGATTTACCTAGAGATTCATGCCTTGAGACAGCTTCACATGCTTATGTCATAGAACAGCAGAGCTAATAAACAAACAATTACTGATGCTGCAAGCACTGAAGAAACTCCAGCAGCAGCCACATCAAATTATCTCTCTTATATTCAATTAGATTCATTCATCATTCAAGCCACATACATAGTTTAACTACACTGTTATTTCTTTTTCAGCCTCCATTGATCTAGATGTTCCACATTCGAACAAGATTAGGGGCAGAGGGTTTTACTTTCTTGCACATATTTTTATTGACTTTTCAAAGCTTCGTAAAACAATTCATGCATACTTATTAGGAAGTACAATTCTGAATTCAGTGGACTTGTACATAACATTGTTTAGAAGTAGAGTGCACACTGAGTGACAAAATTATTCCAAATGTTAATGAATGTGACAAGTTCTAATTCTACGGAAAACTATATTTCAAGGCACATGGTGTGCTGAAAAAGAACTGCTTGTATGCCCACAGATTATATTCAATTATATAATCAATCGTGTTTACAAGAGTTGAGCAGGGCTCTTGGGGACACGACATTTTGGAAGGCATTCATTCACAGGGTCACTGTAAGTTGGAGACAGACTGATAGCACATAACAGCAACATAATCAGTAGGTGGTACAACACCTCCCCCCTTGGATGTATACCTTAACATGGTGGGAGGGGCTGAGAGAGTCAAAGATGCAAAAAGTAAAGAACCAGAAGAACAGACTTTTCCATTAGGCTGCTCTCCTACCAGGGTCACCCAAGGTGAAATGGTTAAAGCTGAGACACCAGACTAAGATTCACTCAACTTCTTCAGCAGTAACAGTCACATCAGCAGAAGAGAATGCATGTCTCTAATGGTGATGGGGGCAGAGAAACCTCTGAAGAGCAGCTAGTGGGCAAAAGCAGCAGAAGGCAACACTGGTGCAGGATATTTCATAGACAACGGAAGTGATGTTCAAGTGAACTCTGGTTAGTACTGGGAGGAAGAAGGCAATGGTAAATCACTTCTTCATTTTCTTACCTTGAAAACCCTATGATGAAACAAGCCAAAAGGAAATATAGATTGTATCAGAAGATGAGATTGCCAAATCTGAAGACACTCAATTAGCTATTGGGGAAGAACAAAGGAGAAGTAGAGATAGAGGTGCCATTAATGAAACAACTAGATAAAGACAAAAAGAAGTCTAGTAGCTGACATGCACATAAGTGAAAGGCATGTCTGAGGCTGTTCAACAGTTACAACTGGAAAGATGGAACATGAGGAGGATGAATCAAGGCAAATTGGATGCTATAAAGTAAGAAATGGACTTGTTAAACATTGTGGCACTTGGTGTGGATGAACTAAAGTGGACTAGAATGAGACTGGAATGTGTGAATTTGTTTTGGTGGTGGGTGCCTGTTCAATTCCCTAGGCTTGGGTCCCCAGACTCCAGTCCACTAGAGGGAGAGAGACTGCTGATTTTGGTTTCAATCATACATGCAACATTTTCAGTCACACAATGGCAACTTCAGAAGAAATAGAGTGGCTGTAATACTATAAGATGAGAACAGGCAGTAAGAATAATATAAATCAGAATTTGGAAAGCCAATCAACATACCTCGTAACCATTATTCAAGTCTTTGAGATGCTGGAGAAAAAAAATTGAAAACTTTTATGCAGGTATTCAAGAGGAAACTGATAGCACATCAAAACAAGACATACTGCTAATCCTAAATGACTGGAATGTGCAAGCAGGAAACAAAGAATCAAATGTGCACTCAGGGGCAAATTTGGCTTAGGGGCAAAAAATGAAAGAGGAGAATTAGTCATTCTGTGAAGCCAACACTCTTATGTATTACTGCAAACACATTATTCAGGTTCCCAATCAGATACATGGACATCACCAGATGGCTAATATGGATATTAAATAGACTGTACAATTGGAATCAGGAGATGGAGAAGCTCTAGTCTATTCTCACTGTCCAAACAGCAGAGCAGATTGTGGCACTGAGCCTGATCTCAGTGAGTAAAAATGAGTAAAGCTGAAAAAGTTAATTAACAAAAGCAAAGAACCAAAATACAATTTAAATAACACTCCTGAGGAGTTCCATGAAAGGGGCAGATTTGCTTTACTGATCTCCACTGGCAATGAATCACAAGAACTGTGGACTGAAAACAGAGATATTATTAGGGAAAAATGCAAAAAGACAATTCCTGTAGCAGAAAGAAAGAAAATACCTATATGGATGACAGAATTGCTAAGAGCAGGCAAGAAGAAAAAGTTGTCAGAAATAGGATCAGAATCCTATTGCTTTCAGCAGCTACTGAGAAAGAAAGAACTGTTACAATGACCAGTGCAAGGAAGTAGAAGAGAACAACAAAAGATCTAAAAAATCAAAGGGAAATTCAGGTCTAGATTAGGAATACTAAAAGACAAACATGGTGACATATTATATCTCTGTGAGAAAATAAAAAGAAGGTGGAAAGGATATACGGAAGAACTACACAAAAGAGATAAAAAGATAACAGACTCCTTCAAAGAGGAATCCTGTAAAGGAAGAGCCTACTATATTAGAAAGTAGAGTAAAAGCTGCTCTGGAGGAATAAAGCATCCAGAATAGATAGGGTTACTAACAGAACTATTCCAAGCTGCAGAAAATGACTTAGTCCAACACCTAACAAGATTATGGCAGCAAATACAGACAATAAAACAGTGGTCCAGAGACTGGAAATATCCAAAATACATTCCAATCCCCCATAAAGGAGATGCAAAAACAGTCCAGCAGCCATTGGATCATTGCACAAATTTCTTATGAAACTGAGTGTTGCTACAAAAACCACTACCCTTTAAGGAGTGAGAAATGTCTGATGTACAAGCTGGATTACAAAAAAGAAGAGGCACTCGAGACCATATCACAAATACATGTTGGCTACTGGAGCACAACGAAGAATCTAAGAAGAAAATCAGTCTATACTTTATAGAATTCAGCAAAATCTTCAACTGTGTGAATCACAAGAACCTATGAATGATATGGGTGTACCTCAACACTTAATCATCCTTACATAAACATGAAGCTCCTGTTACGGCAGAATGTGAAGAAACAGAATGGTTTCCTAGAGTCAAAGGCAAAAGGCAAGGGTGTTTTTTTCACTGTTCAGTCTGTACAAGAAATATAGCATAAGGAAAGCTGGATTAGGATCAGAGAAAGAAAGCGGTAAAATTGGCAGAAAATAGAATAAGTTAAGATATGCTGATGAAACCATACTACTGGCAGAAAGCAGCAATAAATAGAAACTGCTCCTCATAAAATTGAAAGAAGCAAGTATAGACTGCAGCCAAGAGATTCAAGAAAGACTTGGAAGGGCAGTAATGAAGTAATGAGAAAAGATAATCAAATGTAAGGACATTTCACTCGAGACCAAGACCAAGATAATCCAGGCTACTGTATTTCCAATCGCTTTGTATGGGTGTGAAAGCCTGACAGGAAAGGAAATGGACAGGAAAAAAATGGATGCATCTGAAACATGGTGCTGGAAGAGAGTTTTGTAACCACCTGAGACTGACAGAATGACAAACAAGTGGGTTCCACATCAAATCAAGCTAGAACCCTGGAAGAAGAAAAAAAAAGACAATATTGAAGCTGTAATATTTCCAGCAGATCATGAGAGGCAAGACTCACTGGAGAAGACAATAATGCTAGGGAAAGTCAAAGGCAAAAGAAGAGGAAGATAAAATAGGAGGTGGATTGACTCCATAAAGGAAGACACAGCCTTGAGTTTACAAAAGCTGAGGAGGACTGACAAGCACAGAAAACACTGGAGTGAATTAATTCATGGGGTCACTCTAAGTCCAAGACAGCTTGACAGCTTGTAACAACACTACAAGTAGCAACACTTGTAGCTGTTAGCAATTTTAAGTAAATGTACTTTTAAGTTTGCCTTCAACAGGAAGACCAAAGACACCTCTGCTACTGGCTGACATCTGACATCAGGGTCAGACGTATGATTAAACATCCAATGTCTCCATATTATTTTCTTACAAATAAGAGTTGTAGGTAGGGGGAATTATTATCAGAACTGTGGAAGAAACAAAAAGGATTGTCTCCACTATGCTTCAGATGAAAATTCCCCCTTCCTACAACATTGCTATTAACCAGATGCGGAGGGGGACTCAAAAGCTTTTCTTGCAGGGCTGGTAATAGCTTAGGGAAGAAGGATGTTCATTTTAAATTGCAATGGGTAGAATGATTAAAACTAACCTTACCATTCATTGCAGTGACTGTAATAAGAAAAAAACTGGACGTATTAATACAATCACAGATTTAACGTAACGAGTATTTTGGCCTGCCATCTGAAGTCACTGACTAGCTTTGGACAACAGAACAACTCACCATGGTTTATTATTTTTTTTCCTAACAAATTACCCTTTGATGCCTCTAA